ACACATGTTCTCTCTTGTTTGTGGATCCCAGCTTCAAATCATTAGATGTGAGTATATATCTTCAGCCAGGAAAATGGAATGTAACCAAGGGGAGAAAGGGGAAGGAGCTTGATAGAGAGGGCCAGTAAGAAACAGGAGTTATCAAGGGGTAAATGGGGAAATAGGGGGTACTTTAACTGGGGAGGGAGGAGGGAGGGTTGGATATACAGGGTCAAAGAGAGGAAAAACAGATAAATAATGCTTAAGTGGTGTGAAATACTAAAGGGAAATGTAGAATTTAACAAGCCTACTGAAAAACACACATATAATATAAATGTGAGTGCATGTGTATAGCTGATGGCTATAGAACAGAAATCACAGTGCCAGGCATGAGAAACCTCCCATTGAGTTGTGGTCAGAGCAGTCCAAGAGACTCCCCAGAATAATGCAGATTATTGCCACGGCCCTTGATTGCCTCCCAGAACTTGAAGGTAAGACCTATTGCTGAAGACAACATACTTTGAACATAGGACTTGGAGCAATTGAGATGGAACTCACCAGGAAGTCTCCTCCATTATTAGCTTTCATAGTATCAGAAGATACTATGCAAGCTGCCAAGGGAAAAAAATCCAATCAATCAGTGATCCTACCCAGCTGTAAAGTCTATGAACCACAACAATGACTGGCCCAGAAAACTATCTGTATTGATGCAATAGTGGCACTTTTATCTTGGGAGTGATCAACATCTGTCTAACTGGACTTAAGGCCCACTCAGTGGGAGGGAATCATGTGTGCTACTGTACCATAGCCAAGTACACATGGCTGGAAAGGATCATAGATCCTAGAGAAAAACCTACTTCTGTCACATCCCTAGACCAACATAATTTCTCACTGTATTCTAAATATGTATCCTTTTATTTACAGACAAGTGTATCTCTCACCACTCATGAAAGAAGTTACTTTTTGCAACAGATGGAGAGTATTACAGACTTCCACAAATGGTAAAATGCAGAAAATAGGTGACTATGAGGTGCCCAGCCCTAAGTGACACACCTACAATGCAACTTCTACATCTAAGGCTCAGGGAACATTGCAGAAGGGAGGAAAAAAATGTAAGAGCCAGAGGGACGAGACACCTGCTGCTAGTTAATGCATTCTAGACAAGATAGGGAAGCTGCACCAATGAAATCTCCACAGTATGGTAGTCTAACACGATCTGCATAATGACAAAACCCATTGACATGCCAAGGTGGATGGGAGGAATATCACAGGATTCCATCTTGAGATGAAGAGCTACAAGTAATCAATGGATGCTGACGAAGGAAGAATCAACTTTCTCCAGGGACTTGGTCCCTGAGATGTTATCTAATCCCAAATGGACAGCCCTAAACACAGGTAGGTACACATGAGCACCACTTAATGTATGCTGCGCATTATATACGTATATTTATATTTATATATGTATGTATATTTAATAATATTAGTCAAAGTAGAAGAGGTCAAGAAATTGAGAGGGAGTAGGAGGACATGGGAGGAGTTGGTAGAGCCTGGGGAGGATGGAAATAATGCAAAAGGTAATACATGTGTGAAATTCTCAAAAAAATTAAAATTAAAAAAAAAATTTATGTATATAGATTTAAGTCTATGAAAAAGATTGATCATTTTAAATATATTTATTGACATATATACTTCTTCTTCTGTGAAATACTTGCTCTTTTCTATTACTCATTTTTTTCTTTTTTCTTTTTTGTCTTTTCTTGAGATAGGGTCTCCCTGTAGCCCCAGCTGGCCTGGCATGGAGATTTGCTTGCCTCTGCCTCCTGAGTGCTGGGATTAAAAGTGTGTGCCAGTATGTCCAGCTATTGTTTCTCATTTTTTCTACTGAGTTTACTATTGGTTTGTGAAAGTTTGTTCTATATAATGTATATTAAGCCCATGTCATCCATATCTGTTTACTAATGTCTTCTTACACTCTTGTTTTTCAGTCTTCAGTGTATTTAAAAGAATGGAATTTATTGTTTTTTTTTTCCTTTGAGATAGCCTCCTGCAGCACAGGCTCAGACTTCCTACGCAGAGAAAGATGACCTTAAATTTCTGATCCTCCTGTCTCCAACTCCCAGTTTATTTGGTGCTAGAGATCAAACTCAGGACTTTGTGCATGCTAGGCAAGCACTATGCTAAGTAAACTACATTCCTGGCCCTTGAGTTTCTTAATTTTAATGAGATACTAATTTATATCAGTCTCATACATAATAAATTCAGCTTCATAGTTATCAGACCCAGGATTCTACTCTTCTGATACATTGTCATCCTCAACGTCCCACCTCAAAGTCAAAATGACAGCTGATATGAATTTGGATTGTTCAGTGGCTTCTTATAGATATCACACTAGTAACACCAACAATAAAACAAAAAATTGATAAATTAGAGTGTGTCCGTGTGTTTATGTGTGTGTGTTTGTGTATATATGTATGTACGTATATATGTATGTATGTACGCATGCATACATGCATATATTGGGGACTGAAGGCCACAGTCTTATGTATAGTAAGCAAATGCCCTAACAATCAGTCATGTCTACAGCCTTACATTTTTTAATTTTAAAACATGGTCTCACTGTGTTACCCAGGCTGCCTGGCCTTGAAATTGCTATATAGCCCACATAGGCTTTGTACCTGCAAACCTGCTTCAGCCTCCTGACCAGCCTAAACTACTAACTTGGACCCCTAGGCCTGGCATAATTGATCTTATTAATTTGTTTTGATTTGGTTTTTTGTTGTTTTTGTTTGTTTGCTTGCTTCTGCATTTTTTTTGTCTTATGTGAGATAGACTCTTGAGTAGCCCAGGCTGGGTTTGATCGAACTTTGATCCTCCTGGCTCTACCTTCCGAGTGCTAGGATTACAAAGTTATTCCACCATACCCCATTTTAATTAGTTTGTTTGCTTATTTGTTTCAAAGAATACCATCAAAGAAATGAAAAGACATTAGTTAAGAAATGTAACCAGCTTAGATGTCCATCAACAGATGAATGGATAAAGAAAATGTGGTACATACACAAAATGGAATTTTATTCAGCCATAAAGAAAAATGAAATCACCAGGCATGGTGACACATGCCTTTAATCCCAGCACTTGGTAAGCAGAGGCAGGTGGATATCTGTGAGTTCAAGGCCAGCCTGGTCTACATAGCGAGTTCCAGGCCAGCTGGGGCTACAGGGAGATCTTGTCTCAAAAAGATGAAAAAAAATGAAATCATGAAATTTGCAGGAAAATAGATACAACTGGACATCATGACAAGCAAAATAAGCTAGACTTACAAAGACAACTTTGCATGTTTTATCGAATATGCAGACTTTAAAGTGAGTGTGTGTGTGTGTGTGTGTGTGTGTGATGTGTGAGAGAGAGAGAGAGAGAGAGAGAGAGAGAGAGAGAGAGAGAGATGAAAATAGAAAGGGGACTGTGAGAGGGAAGGAAGAGATCTTAAAGGAGTAGGAGGAGAAAAAATAATAAAAGATGTGGCATGAAACCAAAGAGGGCACTATTTAGAGGGGAGATAGAGGGCCAGCTAGGGGATGAATTGAAGGATAGGTCAGGGTAGTCCAAGAAGGAAGTAAATACAAACAATGTAAAATGAATTATTTGTATAAAAATGGAATAATGAAATCCATTATTGTGTATGCCTCCTTAAATAAATAGGGCCTAGGGAAGTAACTCAGTTGGTAACAGGCTTGTTGCACAATCATGAAGACCTGAGTTTGAGCTCTAGCAGCCACATAAAAAGTTGTATATGGTGGCACACATTTATAATCCCAGCACTGGAGACGTAGATGCAGGAGGATTTCTTCGACTTGCTGACCAGTTAGCTTAGCCTAATTGGCAAGCCACACAACTATGAGAGACCCTGTCTCAAAAAACAAGATGGATGGCTCCTTAGGAATGACCTCTGGCCTACACACACCCACACTTTTGTGCTCACACAAACATGCAAATATACTCATACAGATGAAAATGCACACATGCAGAGAAAGAAGAGGGAAAGGAAGGGAGGGACGGAGGGAAGGAGGGGGGGAAGAGAGAAGGAATGAATGAAAGAAAAGGAAGGAAGGAAAGAAGGGAGGGAGAAGGAAGAAAAAGAAAAGGAAAAAATGAAAAAAGCTGGGTGTGGTGGTACTTGGCTATAATCCAAGGATTTAGAAAGCTGAGACAAGATAGATCATAAGCTCAGGAGTTCAAGACCAGCCTAGGCAATATAATATCTTATCTCAAAGCACGACCAACCAAACAAAACACCAACCCATAAAGTGAGAGGAAAATATTTACATAATTATAAATAGTGTCTTTATGATAAACGACTTGTATGTCAAATGTATAAAGAATGCATAACTCAATAATTAAAAAGGCAACTACATAGAACTAATTAAACATTTTTCCAAAGACAATATACACATAGCCAATAAGCACATGAAAAGACACTCAACATCATTAGCAATCAGAGAAATGCAAACCAAAACTACAATGGGATTCCACTTCACATTCATTGGGGTGGTTATAATAGAAATGCAGACAGGTATGCCTCCAATCCCAGCACTTGCAAGGTAGAAGCAGAAGGATCAAAATTTGAAGATTCTCCTTAGCTATTGAGTTCAAAGCTAGCCTGTGATACATGAGACAATGTCTTAAAAAAGAATGGGCTAGGTGTGGTGTGATGGCACATGCCTTTAATCCCAGCACTCAGGAGGCAGAAGCAGACAGATCCCTGTGAGAACAAGGCCAATCTGCTCTACATAGGGAATTCTAGGCCAGCTAGGGGTACAAAGAGACATTCACTGTCTCAAAAAATCCAAAACAAAACAAATAAACAAAAAAGAATAAAATACTGATATGTATGTATGTACATATATATATATATATATATATATATTACTGATATATATGGGTAAAGCTTTAAAATAATGTTATATGAAAGAAACTAGACATAAATATCATATACTGTGATTCCATGTGTATGAAATATTGAGAAGATACTTACATGGCAGAGGAGACACCATGATCAGGAAGGTGGTTTTCCCAGGGCGAGGCTCAGCCATTGCACTTAGGATGTGCTGACCCTTGAGATTTCCCCAAATGCAGGAAACTCATCTGCATAATTTGTGGTAGTGGAACTGTGTTTGTGCTCTGTCTTGATTGAAAAAAAAAAAAAGAAAGACATACTGAGAAGAAGCAAATCTGAAAAGGTTAAGTAGAGCAAGGATTTCCCAGGTTGACGTAATGGTTGAGGGAAAATGAGGAGTGACTGTTAATGGGTATGAAGCGCATAGGAGGGGGTGAGACTATAAGAATGCTCTAAAACTGGTGCAGTTCCCAAAAATCATTGAACTGTATACTTTAAATTGCTGGATTCTGTACAACTGTGAATTCTTTAAAAATGGCTGATTGAGCTCTAGCCATCATGCTTGCATCAGAGCCAGCAGGAGGGAGGAAGAATGACCACCCTCACCAGGCACACTGGTACATTAGGGAACATTGCTAACATACTGAGAAGTGAAAGGAATGCTACAATGAGCATGTTCATACTCACCATCAAGATTCAGCAGTTGGTAACATTCTGCCATACTTCATTTACCTGTATAGACGCCAAGGCTATTTTTATATTTTATTACATTGATTGATTGATTTGCTGTGAAATCAATGGCTTTTGAGACAGGGTCTCAGTATATAGCCCTAGCTGACCTGAAGTTCACTATGTCACAGACTGGCCTCAAGTCACAGAGATCCATCTGCCTCTACCTCACAAGTACCAGGATTAAAGTGTGTCAACACACCCAGCCATGCCAGGTTTGATGGTGTATTCTTTCATTATTGACGTGGAGTGTGGGTGTGGGTCTGATCTGTGGGTGTGAGCATGGGCACATGTGTTCTACAGCCAACACGTCAGAGGAAAACTTTTGGGGGTCAATTCTCTCCTTTTGCCATGGAATTTGGGGATCAAACTCAGATCATCCACTTTATATAGCAAATGCTTTTATAAGTTAAGCCATCTCAGTAGTCCGTGATCGTGTTTTCTATATCAAGGAGTACATGAGACTGAACACAACTCTTTCTTGTTAAATTGTAAGGGCTCTTCAGACATTAAGGATATTCATCTTTTGATATGTATGCTTTAAAGCTATAGGAAGTTCAGAAGTTCAAGTTCAGTCTTGGCTACAGCAAATTTGAGACAGTGCCAGAGAGAGAGAAAGAGGGAGAGAGAGAGAGAGAGAGAGAGAGAGAGAGAGAGAGAGAGAGAGAGAGAGAGAGAGAGAGAGAGAGAGAAAATGAGAGAAAGAGAATGAATGAATGAATTTTTACCCCCCAAAGAAAGAAATGCATTCCAGGGAAATAGTCAATTAAAAAGATAATTCAGGTGTGGTGGCTCACTTCACGTTCAAGCCAAGTCTGGGCTAGGTAGCATGTTTGAGCCCAGCCAAGGCTGCCCAGGGAGAAACTGTCACAAACAAGCAGACAAAAAGCAACCAGAAGTGGCTGCTGCCAGCTATAACTCTAGCACTTTGATTGCCACAAGTTAAAGGCTAACCTTGTCTACATAGTGAGTTCCAAGCCAGCCTGGGCTACAAAGTGAGATTTTTGTCTCAAAAAAAAGACAAAAAGAAGGCAATGTATTCATGCATTCATGATGATAAAAATCACAATTTATAAAAGAAAAATATAGTAACTTAGGCGTCATCAAAATTAAAAATCCTTGCCAAGCATGATGGCATATGCTTGCAGTCCTATCATTCAGAAAGCAGAGGCATATGGATCTCTGTGAGTTCTCACCTGCCTGGCCTACACAGCAAGTTCTAGGCCTGCCGGGGCTATATAGTGAGACTATGTTTCAAAAAAGAAAAAAAAAAAGAAAAAATGAAAAGAAAAACCAAACAAAATTTTCAAAATTCTTACTCCATAAAAATCTCATTTAAGAAGAATGAAAAGAAAACTCACAACCAGGAAAAAATAGTTCAAATCAAGTTGTGTGGTTGCCAGCTGCGGCCGCCCCTCCACTCTCCCGGTGCTGGGTGCTATCTTCCGGTACCGGTCCTCCTCTCGCACTGGCTCAGCCTGCGGCCGCTCTCTGTTCACATGATGCTAATCACACAGGCGCCACCTCTGGTAACAGGGGCACTGCCTCCTGGGCGCCACCTCCGATCGTTCAGGCGCCGCCCTTCACTCCTTGCTGCTGCCCCAAGGTGTGGCCGCTCTTCCGCTCGCCTGGCGCTGAGGCAGCTCTTCTGCTTGCCTCGTGCTGCCTCGGATTGTCACTACTTCCGCCCGCCGGACCCCAGGGCTGGTGAAGAGACTGTGTCAGCGGAGCCTTATTCAGACACAGACCAGGTTCAGTGAGGCAGACCCCGTTTATTGTAGAAGGGCACAAGCTTATATAGGGGTAGGGGTCCAATCAAGAAGTTACAACTCAGATCTTTGGCAAAGCTGTGTCCTATCATGACATCGGGAGTCAGACACCTTATTAGCATGATAGGTTTCAGGTTACTTAGGTTCCGGTTTCCTGTACAGGCCTGGATTCCTGGGAACCACGTGACCCAGGCTAAGTGTTGCAATTCGGAATCTCAAGGGTGGTGATTAGGGAGTGGGGAGCTCTAGGCAGCAGTCTCATGATCTGCCAATGGGAGCAAATGTCACAAGGCATTTCTTGTGGCTCCAGCAGTCGGGCTGTTGCCTCGAGCCTGCTGTATGTCTGTCATTAAGACTTTCACCCTAGGCTCAAGCCTGTCTCCCATAAAGTTGCATAACTGATTAAGTCTTACCATCAAAAATATATTTCAAAACTCCTAAACTCCTTCAACAGTGGGGGAAAAAATCACAATTTAACCATTCACAGTGGCTCGTTTTTTGTCTTGGAGGGTTTTTTTGAGACAGGGTCTCCTTATAGCCTCAACTGGTCTAGAACTTGCTACATAGAACAGTCTGGCCTTGATTTCACAGAGATCTACCTGCTTCTGCCTCCCAAGTACTGTGATTAAAGGTGTGTGCCACCACGGCTGGCTCATGGATCACTCTTACAATCTCAGCACTCAGGAGGCTAAATGAAGAAAACTGTCACAAGTTCAAGGCCAGCCTGAGCTACATAGTGTGTTCCAGGCTAGACTGAGCTAAAGTAGTATGACCTTGTCCAACAGAAAATGGTCAAAATAGTTGAATATGTATTTCATGAAATGGGGGGCAGGGGGAGTGGCTGCACAAGAAAAGCTGGCAAAGACTGTGGGCCAGAGGTGGATGACACATGCATTTCAAATATGGAAAAGGAAAAGTCTATAAGAATCCATGTCTTTGTAAGTCACCCCCTCCCAAAAGTCATATAAACTATGCAAAATCCAAATAGAATGTCTTATGTCAGTTTGTCAATCCATGTCAGGACCAGGGAGACCCTGACTGAAGGTGGGTCTCCCAGCAGGAAAGGAAAAATTTGGTGAAACAGATTCACTTACATACATGCAGGCATAACACTCATATACAAAAAATAAAAATAAATTTTAAGAAGTGAGAACACAAAATGGTGGTGAGGATACAGAAATTCTGGACTTGTATATTGCTGGCAGTAATATACGGTAATGAACAGCTGCTACGAAAACAGTTTCTTGAAAAAACAAAAATATTCAACATATATTTATCACGTAATTACATTTATAAGCATTCTTCCCACATATTAAAATACAGAAACCTATATATGAATGCACATAGCATCAGTAGTTGTAATAGCCCCAAACGAGAAATAACTCAGATGTCCTTTTTTGGTGTTGTTGTTTTGTTTTGCTTTGCTTTTTGCTTTATTTTATTTTATTTTTTTATTTCATGTGTATGAGTGTTTTGCTTGCATGTTTGTAAGTACACCTTTGTATGCAATGCCTGAAGAGGCCAGAAGAGGGTATCAGATCCCCTGAAAATGGAGTTATGGATGGTTGTTAAATGTCATGTGGGTGCTGGGAACGGAACCTCAGTCTTCTATAAGAGCAGCCAGCCTCTTAACTGCGGAATCATCTCTCCAGCCCCATTTTGTGTTGTTGTAGTTGTTGGCTGGCTGGTTAGTTGGTTGGTTGGTTTTTGTTGCTGTTGTGATTTCGTTGTTTTTTTTTTTTTTTTTTTGGTTTGGGGGGATTATTTTTGTTCTGTTTTGTTTTTAAAATTTTTTTAGACAGTGTTCCCAACTAGCCTGTAACTCACTTTGTGATTCAGGCTGGCTCCAAACTCCTAGAAATCCTCTTGTATCAGCTCTTTGAATGCTGGGATTACAGGCATAATCACCACATCTGCCTCATTCAAATGCCCTTCTATAGGTAAATGTCTACAACTGTTCTATATCCATATTGTGGAATACTATTTAACAGAAAAAAAATCAGTTAACTGGTCAGATGTGGTAGCAGACATCTTTAATCTCAGCAGTCAGGAGTCAGAGGCAGGTGATCTTTATGAGACTGAGGCCAACTCAGTCCACATAAAAAGTTTCAGGTTAGCTGAGTCTACAGGGAGACCCTGTCCCAAAAACTTCCCCCCAAAGAGTTAACTATTGATACATGCAACAATTTGGATGGATCACAAAGCAATATGCTGAAAAAAAGTTTTTTAAATCTCAAAAAGTTGCATGCTGTAGGATCTCATTTATTAATAATCCTTTTTTCTTGTTTTTGCTTTTGTTTGAAACAGAGTTTTAAGTCTGGGCTGGCCTTGGACTCACTATGCATCTGTGACTGGCTGATCCTCCTGCCTCTACTTCTGAAGTACTGGGATTAGAAGTGTGTGTCATCGTCCATCTTATTAATATTCTTGAAATAACATGTTCCCAGAGGTCTCATAATATCAGAGGTATATATCCATAAAAATATTGTTCCTGACAAGGCTCAGGAAACATCACAGCAGAGGAAGCAGAAAGAAGGTAAGACCTAGAAGAAGAGTTGGAGCTGGTGTAGAATGCTGTCTTCTGGGCATGGCATTGTTGTTGCACTTGCCAGACATATTCTTGTACAAAACTTGTACAGGTAGTCACAACTGTTTTGAGTTTAAGAGTGCAAGAATATGTCTGGCAATATCCAGTCATGGAAAGCGGGAGGGACTCCTGAATCCCTTTCCCTACCTGAAGATCTATTCACAGCTAATAATTGCTGGCAGAGAGAGAGACATTTTTTTCAGTCTT